AACTAAAAGACAAAGTAAGAAGTACAGACATCAGGCACAAAACAAAACTAACTGATATCCTGGCTCGTATTGACCAACTTAAATGGAGGTGGACTGGACATATGCTCAGGTGTAAAAAGGAGAAATGGAGCAAACAGGTGACAATCTGGTACCCAAGAGATGGCATTAGGAGTCGAGGTCGCAAAAAGAGAAGATGGGAGGATGACCTGAAAATGACTTTGGGTCCGCTCTGGACAAGAGTGGCGGCAGACAGACATCAGTGGAAAGAGTTGGAGGAGGCCTTTGCCGTAAGGCACACCGAACTGAGAGACCTTTTATAATATGTTGTGCGTTACGTTTTTAACCAGCTGTTAATCTATTTATTTAAGTAAAATTTATGTTTGTAAATGAAAAAAACTGTCAAAGTTCGGAAATAAAGGTTTTTATTATTATTATAATGTATATTCTGTAAATATTAGGAACAAGTACAAGCTAGTTATATCAGTTATTCCACTTCAAAGAATAAGTTTTCCTTCATGGGGCAAAGTATATGTTTTTACAAGTCATAAAATATGCAGCCTATCAAAAACTGAAAATTTTTAACTAAGCAAAGTTGTTCAAAAAAAGGTTATTAAAATAAAATATACGATTGATAAACCCCTGGAAATGGGGTGATTAATGTTATTTCTAAATGTTTTAATATTTAATTGTAAAACATATTCTAAATAAAATTTTGTTCAAATGACCCGCTTGGACTTCTTGCTTGTTTTCTACATAGGACAGAGGCTTTTCCCAAACGAGTAAAAACATTAATTACTTAATGAGTTTTGTAATCAAGTATTCTCTAATAAGTTTTGTAGTTTTGAATAAAATTTATTCTGTTTACATCGTAACTGCAAGCATATAATATAGAGACAAAATTAATTTTAAATCAGGGAAATAAATAGACAACCAATTATTATCAAAATGAAATTATTTGCTGGTTTTACTCTGCTCTTGTGTACATGAGCTTATTTATTATTTAACTTGTTTTTGATTCAAATATTGCTATTTTAGGTATTGTAGACATGCTAGGGTTTTTAATTGTGCATGATATTATCAATACATTTATAATTGTAAATCATCTATATTATTTTGTCCTTTGTTACATAGGTAATTGAAATATTGTAATCAGTATTGATTTTTATTTTCTTGTTTTAACTCATCTAATGACTTAATAGACAGAACTAATTTTACTAAAGAAATTTTATCTCCTCCCTTCAGTAGTGTTCTAGTATTATGCAAGTTTGAGAAATGTTATTCTGTACCTTAGGATCACCTGCTATTAGGCGGCCAGTATACATATACTAGGCGAAGTCGGATGCATGGCTATTACATTCTATCTGGAATGTAATACTAAGCCTGCAAGACCCAACATTGTAGGCAGTGTATAGTAACAAGTAGTATAACAATCTTTTTAACACCCTTTGGGTCCAGACTCATAAAATGATAAATATTGTTGCCGTTATATAGATATTATATTATATATTTTTCAGAGTAATCAAATTCGTAACTTTAGCTTAAATAAATAAATAATGATATAATCTTATTGCAGTTTTTCAAATATCAGTAAATAAAGCTTCTTCTTTTATTTGCAACTATCCCAAATTGAATCCGATTTATGGGCAACAACGTTTTTGCCTAGGGATGGCGATTCTTATCAAAAAAGATCGATTTTCAAATCGATTCGAATCGTGACCTAAGGAATCGATTCACAAAAAATCGAGCTCTATAAGATCGATTTCCGAAAAATCGATCTTTTTTTCAAGTTTTCGTTTATAATGTAATATTTTATTAAAAACAAGGTACATATTATAATTTAACGATCTCTTATCAGTAAAATCAGGTAATTCGATAATAAAAAATATTTTCATTACCATGTCAAACTAACAGATGTAGTATAAAATAAGACATTTATTTTCTACATTTAGAAATTTTACAGAGTTAAGAAAATGGTTAAGAAAAATCGTTTACAAAGATATAGATAATGTAGCTTATAGTTCCCAATGCTTAATATCTAAACTTTTTAAAAACAACAGTCTATCAAGTCTACAGGGATCCAAGCGGTTTCGCTCATCTGTTGCGATGTTTCCGGCAATTGAGAAAAGGCGCTCACAAGGAACAGATGATCCTACGATACTCATATACTTCACGGCTATTGAGTGAACTTGGTGATAAATAGAGTTTTTTTGTTCTTGCCAGTAGAGTATAGGATCATAATTTAGGTGCACAACTGCCTGCGATAAATAGTGTTTAAATTCTTCATTTAATGGTTAAAGATATTTTATTCTCAAAAGAAATATACATTTCACTTAATGAGAGGTTACAATATTCGAGTTATAAATGAGTTATGAGCATACAGATAGCAAAAAAAAATATACATATGTATTAACATTAAAAAGGGAGGAAAGAGTTTCGTGACATACAACTTCTTACTAGTTTAGGCATACAACTTAATACTTCCAATATAACGTTTTGTGTATTGATGTACAAGTTAGCAATCTTTTAGTAGATAGTAATAAATAAAGTGGGTAGTAAGTAAGGCATTTCTTATCGTTACCGATAACACTGATTAGCGGTCGGCATATGGGCAGGGTCGGATTTAGAAGTTATTCATTATATGTTGTTTTAGTTTGCTTTTAAAGATGTTAAAACTATTTAATATTTTTATTTCTTGTGGTAGTTTATTATATATTTTAACTCCATCAAAAAGTATGCTCTGCTTACCATAGTTTGTTCGTACCATAGGTATGTAAATATTATTAGTGTTGCGAAGTACTTTCTTTCCTTTGCCTTTATTTGTTATAAATTTTAATTGTGTGTGTATTTTATTATCTAAAATTTTCTTTATTAGAATACAAGTATTATAGCAATATGTTTGATAAATATTCATAATTTTGGTTTCACTGTACAGTTTGTCTGTAGGTGTAAAGAAGTTATAATTGAATAATAGTTTTAATATTTTATTTTGGTTTATTTGTAGGTCCTTTAATGTTGTTTTGTAGGTGCACCCCCAAATTTCAACTAGATAATCCAGATGTGGTTTGACTAAAGTATTATAAATTGTTCGGCGAACACGGTAAGGAAGGCATCGAATACAACCATAAAGTGAACCCAGTAGGGAAGATAGTTTCGATCTTATTTTGCCTATATGACCCTTCCATGACAAGGTTTTATCTAGTACTAAGCCTAAATATTTCTCTTCGGCTGACTCATGTATTGTAGAGTTGTCAATGGTGAGAGGGGAATAACTGCAAATGTTTTTGTTTTTGGGTTTAAATATCATGTACGAGGTTTTTGATGTATTTATTGTAAGCAAATTGGATTGGAACCATTTATGTACTATATTTAGATCTACTTGGGCTCGTGCGATAACTTCTTCTATGGAACGTCCAAAGTAGAAAATACAGGTATCATCTGCATATAAAGAAATTTCGCCATTTAATTTAAGATCAGTTATGTTATTTATATAAATCAGGAAAAGAAGTGGGCCCAATATAGAGCCTTGGGGAATACCGTACGTAATGGGTTGTGGGGAACTTTGATAGTGACCAATCTTTACAATTTGATATCTTTTATTTAGATAACTTTCAAAAATTTTTAAGGCATGGCCGTTAATACCTATATGAGAAAGTTTCTTTAATAGTAGTGAGTGACTTATTGAATCAAACGCCTTTTTTTAGGTCAATAAAAATTCCAAGCCCTAAGTTTTTTGCATCAATGTTTTTTTTTATTTTGGTAATCAAATCTATCGTTGCGGCTAAGGTATTTGACCTAGGCTGGAAACCATACTGACAGTTTGAAATAAAGTTAATTGATGTTAGGTATATATTTAAGCGGTTATATATTACTTTTTCAAAAATTTTGGAAACTACTGGTAAGACAGAGATAGGACGGTAGTTACTGGGGTCACTTTTCGTACCTGATTTGTATATAGGTGTGACTTTAGCTGTTTTCAGTTCATCTGGAAATGTTCCGCTTTCAAGACAGTCATTTATACAAGAAGTAAGCCTTGTAAGAATTAAGTCCTTAATACACTTGACTACCTTTGTTGTAATGCCATCTATTCCCGAGCTCGTATTAGGGTCTAGTTGGTCGATTATTTTAGCCACTTCATATTCGTCACATTTTTGGAAATTTGATAGTTCATTAATTGCATTTTTATGTTTGTTACTAAAAATGTATGAATTATTTACCTCCGAAAAAGTCTGTGTTATCTCGTTAGCTAAGACCGATCCAATTTTTGCGAAAAATAAATTAAATTCTTCACAAATATGATTTCCATCTGTTATTTCTCCTAAAAGAGTATTTAGTTTTGGAGGAATATTATCCGTTTTTATTTTATTTTTTGTTAGGGTTTCAATAAGCCTCCACATTTTTTTAGGGTTATTTTTACAGATATTAAATGAATTATAGTAGTACTCACTTTTTGTTTTAGTTATGAGTGTTGTTACTTCATTTCTTGCTTTTTTATGTAGCTTTATGAGCTTTTCTTTTTCATTATTCGAGCATTTTTTAAGTTTTTGCCAAAGTTTATTTCTAGAATGTATGCTATTAATAATTTTGATATTTATCCAATCATTTTGGGGTGGGTTTTGTATTTTTATTTTACTGATTTTACTTTTAGTTATAATTTTTTTTATTGATTCATTAAGATTGTAAAACTCCTTGCTATCATTTCTAGTGTCACAAAACTCTTCCTCACTATATTTGTACAAAAGATCATAATTAATAGCTTCATCATTTAAGCCTTCACTTTCCTGTGCATGTGCAGTATATAAAGAGAGTTGCTTTTTCACAAGCAACTTATGAAAATCCCAAATTCCTTTTTTCATATCATTACCAGTCTCTTCAATGGCGTCGACTTCTTCGCTATTATTTTTTGGAAGTTGTTACCGCGTAATATCTAAAATTGAAGTGTTTATTCTATTTATTGCTCGAGAACAGGCGACATGGTCAGTAAAATGAATTTTTTTTTAAATCTAGGATCTAAAATGGTCGCAGCAGCTAAACAAATGAACTTGTTCGACCATTCCAAATCTTTTTTTAAGGCCGTTCACTATTAAAGTTCGTGTTTTAGCACCAATATAGGTTGAATTTTCCATTGTATTATATGTTTCAGTCAGACAAGATACGATTGGTATAATTTTACTGGCTGTAACATAGTTTTCTCCAGATATTCCCTTAGTTATTACTTCTAATGGTCTCAATATATTTATAAGATCTTTTATGAATTCTAACTGCTGTGCAGTAAGCATTGTTGGAGCTTTAGGATACTTGAGTAATATTGGCGCAATTATTTCGGATAACTCAACAAATCGTTCTAATTGATAAAAAATAGAATTCCATCTGGTACACACAGATTGAATAAGCCCCAAAGGCTTTGTTTGGTGAGCTTTCTTTAAAGAGTCAGCAGCATTTGTATTTTGCTTAAGATATGTAGTAATATCTTTAACAGCTGTTAATAAATTATTGGCTTCGTCTAGTCCATCCTTATTGTCAAATGGTTGTGATGCTACTAGGTTTAATGTATGAGCAAAGCATGGCATGTGTTTATTTTTGCCATAAACATTTGTGACTGTTAACGATATTAGTGCCATTGTCCGTGATAAACACTACCACTTTGTCACTTGTGATGTCCCATTTTTCTGTCATATTAATAATTACTTGTGCTAAGTAGTCAGGATTGTGTGGTTCTGTTAGAGCAGTTACACCGAAAATTATGCTCATTAATTTATTTTCATATATACAATGACCAGTTAAGCCTAAGTAGCTTTGACTATTATGCGTGTCGGTCCAAACATCTGCAGTCAAAGATAGTGCTTCTACTTCTTATATTTTTAATTTCAGTTGTGCTGAAAGAACGTTATATTTATCATCAATCATGTGGGTAATTGTTTTTCTGGCTGGAACTTTATATAGCGGTACCACTACTTTCATCAAATATTGAAATCCTGTTTTTTCCACAGTATTTAGAGGCAAGCCATCCTTCGCTATCATGAAGACTATTGCATTGGCTAGTTGACCACTTTTAACACCATTATCTGAAAATTAAAAAAAAAAGTTATAATTTTCGATCCTGTATCTATACATCTCACTTTCATGAAAATTTATTAAAAAAAATATTTCAGTTTCTTGTCTTACCTCGAAATGATTTTATATTTGTTAAGCAAGATGCCAATGTTTTAAGACTGATACAGAGACAGAAGAAGAAGCCACGCTTTCAGTATCCGAATTATCAACATTTTGAGAATCTGGAACTGGCACGATGCCTAAAGCCATGTCATCAAAAACCTAAAATAAGAAATATATTACTTTGATTTATTGAACATTAATTCTTATTTTGTTCAAACTCAGTACATTGGAAAACAAAGGATGTGATATAAGAAATACAGGCTCCACTCCACTCACTTGTCCATCACCATTTCGTGCATTACCACAATTGCCACCACCACTTTCCTCTTCTTTTTGAGACTTACGGTCTGAATTGTTGGATGACGTCTTAATAAATGATTACGCAAGTTTGTTGTGTTTCCCTTAGTTTTTACTTCCTGGTGACAATATTTGCATTTGCCTCCTGAGTCTTTTTTTATGAATTGATTCCAAATATCACTTTTACCCGACATGCTGAAAAAATACATTTTTTCCTCATTAAATTTGATAAACAACGAAATTTTTAGTAATTAGTTACCTACTAGTTTTAAGTAATATTCAAAATCCTATTAGCATCAATTCCTAAACAATTTAAAAGAAGACTTTATATGAAAGATTAGTAAAACATTTAAATAGTAAAACAATTAAATAGAAATAATAGTTTTTTTGTAAAAAAAAAACCTTTATAGGTTTATCAGGTTATAATTCGATTTGATTTAAAAATCGATCTTTTTCGGAAAGAATTGCCCACCCATCCCTAGCCTGGCGTTCTTACCTACCAAATATGTATGTATTGTAGATGACCGCAGACCGATTTTACTTGATAAAAATAAGATTAAAGTAATTTCGGTAGTTTATTTTTAAAAAGATAATCAGGGCTTCTTACTTTCTATGTAAACAAAAAGTTATATAGATAAATGGACATAATAGTAGAAGTACGCACACTTCCTTAAGGAATTCCACATATGACTTACTTATTAGTTATTTCAATGCCCAATATTGATTATTCGTATCTAAACGTAAATGAATTACATACATGGTTAGATTTAATGATCACAACTAATAGATTAAACTGAAAATAATAGCCAAAGTAAAAAACAAAATAAAGCGCTTTACTTACCTACTTAGTCTCATCATCATCATCATCATCACAGCCCTTCAGAAGTCCACTGCTGAACACAGGCCTCCCCCAAGTAATGCCACAAAGCACGGTCCTGAGCCACCTGCATCCATCGACTTCCTGCATATCTTACCAGGTCGTCACTCCATCTAGTGGGGGGTCGCCCTACACTACGCCTACCGGTACGAGGCTGCCACTCGAGAACCTTTCTTCCCCATCGGTTATCGGTTCTTCGAGCTATATGGCCGGCCCATTGCCACTTCAGCTTACTAATCCGTTGGGCTATGTCGGTCACTCTGGTTTTACTGCGGATATCCTCATTTATGAGTCTATCACGCAGAGAAACTACGAGCATAGCCCTCTCCATAGCTCGCTGAGCGACCTTGAGCGTCCTCATACGGCCAGCAGTGAAGGACCACGTCTCTGATCCGTAAGTCATCACTGGCAACACGCACTGGTTGTACACTTTAGTTTTCAGAGATTGAGGTATACCTGACGAGAAGATGTGTTGTAATTTCCCGAACGCTGCCCAGCCGAGTTGAATCCGTCGATTGACCTCTCGGTTGAAGTTGGACTTACCTAGTCGGACTATTTGTCCCAGGTAAACGTACTCGTCAACAACTTCGAGCATAGTGCTCCCAACAACTACCGGCATAGGTGTGACATGGACATTAAACATGATCTTTGTTTTGTCCATGTTCATCTTAAGACCTATCCGTTGGGAGGCACTATTGAGGTCATTGAGCATAGTGCTTAAGTCCTCCAGCGATTCTGCCATAAGGACTATATCGTCGGCAAATCGAAGGTGAGTGATGTACTCGCCATTGATGTTAATACCGTATCCTTTCCAGTCCAGTAGCTTGAAAACGTCTTCCAAAGCAGCGGTGAAGAGTTTCGGGGATATAACGTCACCCTGTCTTACACCTCTCTGCAGTTGGATAGGTTTCGAGCTCTGGTTCTGTACTCGGATAGCCATCGTAGCCCTACTGTACAAACACTTCAGCACTTCGATATACCGACAGTCAACTTGGCACCGCTGAAGGGACTGCAGCACCGCCCAAATTTCGACGGAATCTAAGGCTTTCTCATAGTCCACATACGCCAGGCAGAGTGGCAAATTGTACTCTTCAGTCTTCTGTACAATCTGCCGCAGGGTATGTATGTGGTCTATGGTACTGAAGCCTTTTCGGAAACCGGCTTGTTCGGGAGGCTGGAAGTCGTCGAGTCTGCGTGCGAGACGATTCGTAATGACTCTCGAAAACAGCACGTAGACGCGGCTCAGAAGGGAAATCGGTCTGTAGTTCTTCAAGAGAGCGTTGTCGCCTTTCTTAAAGAACAAGACCACCGCACTTCTGCTCCACGCCTCTAGAGTAGTGCCACCATGGAGGACGGAATTGAAGAGCTTCTGAAGGACTTCAAGTACCGGTGTTCCACCCGCTTTCAGAAGCTCCGCTGTAATTCCATCCTCGCCCGGGGTCTTGCCGTTTTTAAGGTGGTGGAGAGCCATTCTAATCTCGCTTAGACCGACGTCCGGGATATCATCGGAATAGTGGCGGATAAGACTTGCTCTTGGATCGTTACTCACACTTGCGTGTGGCTCCAACGATGATGTGTACAGCTGCCCATAGAACCTCTCAATCTCACTCAAAATCTCAGGTGTCCCGGAAACGATGCTGCCACACTCAGTCTTCAGCCTTGACAGTTGGCTCTTACGGGCAGACAGATCTCTGGCAAAGACTTTGGAGCCCTGGTTCCGCTCGATCGCTTCTTTAATACGAGCAGTATTAAAGTTGCGTAAGTCTTGCCGCATGCATTTGGAGATCTGTCTGTTCAGTTGCCTATATGCTGTCAAATCTGTTGACGATTGCAGCCTCATCTCCCGTCTAACAGCCATGAGATTAAGAGTGTGATCGGAGAGTTTTTGTGTTCTTCTGCGGCGGGTCTTGCAGAACTTAGCTCCGACCGCATGGACAGTTTCCACGAGCTTGTCATTCACTTTACTTAGTCTCAATTAGTTATTATTCCGCAACAAACACTACATAAAAATTAGTATTTATATCGTTTTACGAGAATCACTCAATCAATCAACAATAAACAAATGAAATAAATACCAAAAATAAATTATGGCTGGCATGACGCAACTCAGTCCAGTCCAGATACAAACAAAAACAAAAACTCAAAGACTACAAACGTAACTTTTTTTATTCAAGAGATGCGAAAGAATCTAAACATACAGCCATCTCGCGAGTTTTTGAATAATTAATTCTTTAACCGGCAGCACTCTTATAATACGGATACATTCAATTAATTGTAAATAGTTATACGGTTTATACCAAAAAAAATCGAATGTCGATTTTCAAGGGTGAAATATCGATTCACCGAATCGATTCAGTACTACATATCGATTTAAAAAATCGATCTTGTTGGCTCCAAAAATCGATTCTTCGATTAATCGATTTCAGATCGCCATTCCTATTTTTGCCTACCGATCGACTAACATGTTTTAAATATAAGCAAGCTCTAACTAAGTTTTAATGTCTTTATCTTACGAGAAAACTGAAAAATTAATTATAGATAGTTAAAAATGCAAACTCTTAAGCAAAATAATACACACACACACACACACACACACACACACACACACACACACACACACACACACACACACACACACACACACACTCACACTCATACACTACACACTGGCATCTACGTATTAATTTTACACTTTCTTCTAAACTTGTAATATTGGTTTATGATTAACAAATCTCCAATATTAAATGAACATTTTGCATATATAATTTTATTGTTTTAAGAAAATGAAATATTAACTGAGTCACTACTTACTAAGTTTCAATTATTTCTATGTGAAATATAGAATAAGTTCTTGTAAACGTTTACTATAACATTTGAATATTAATATAAGTGTGTGACACATTTATAGAATATCTCTCCTGCCTTACTCTTGTACCATACAACTAAACATTTAGCTATAATAGTATTGAGCCATTTGTCGGATTAGAACATAGCACATAGCTAATTATTTTACTTCTTCCCACTTTTATTCATTTCTTGATTGCGGTAAAATTGTTTTTATGTTTTTGTTTTTCTATTTGGTATGTATTTAATGGGTAGGGCTTAGCAGCTGTAACACAGGTCTGTGACCTAGCACGGTTGCTAAAGATACCTTAATATACTATTGAGTTAGATTTACGTCTTATCAATGTAATTTTGTAAGTATATGTTTTTATGTAGAGTATATTTGGATTCAATAAATATTATTATTATTATGTGCGGTATCCATATAGTTTTCTTATCTGGTTGGGTTCTATAAATATATAATTATAAATGAAAATGAAAAGATAAATATACATAAATATCAATGAAATAAAATAAATACAATAATACATAAATAAATAAAAGCCCAACCAGATAGAAGCCCTCAGCAGGGGAGACCAAACGGCCGAGGGTTAGGGGGAAAGGGAAAGAAACTGGCGGGCGATATCGAGGAGCACCGCCTTCTGCATTTGAGCTCGGAGCGGTCCGTCACGGAGTCCCAGTCGCCTAAGATGACCCGAGAGGCTAACTGGGTTTAACCCATTCGCAGAGACGACTACGGGAAAAATTTCGGTCGGCAGACCGCCTACCACCACTTTCACTAGGTTCTCGTCATATGGAATGGTAATGTCGACCAAAAATATCCTTGACTGTGCCCGGTCCATCAGCACAATATCAGGTTTATTCGCAAGAATAGTCCTGTCTACGATGGTGGCCCGATCCCAGTAGAGCCTGGCGTGGTCATTTTCGAGCACGGCTTCCGGTAAGTACTTATAATAAGGCAGTGTCCGATCCACGACACCGTATTTCAGAGCGAGCTCCTGGTATAGAATTCTGGCTACTAGGCTGTGTCTGTGTAAGTACTTTGACATGCCTAAGTGACTCACCGGGACGGCGACAAGCTTATTATTACTCTTACGAATGTTTGCGTGTGCAGTAAAATCACTTACAATGCATTACTGCGCATTTTGAATTTAAGAGATAAAAAGGATACAAAGTTTGAGATTTTTTAAAATTGATTTGTCTTTAACTTCTCTGCAAATTTGACCGGTTATCACAAAATAACCCTGTATATCTCCAAGGAAACACAGATTATTGGAATAAGCCTAAACTATGGTAAGCTTTGTAAAATTTTGAGAGAAAGGTGGTACATGCTTTCACATTTCTTTCTCATATATATAATTAGTAGAACATGTGGAACAAAAATTTCTTGTCACTTAAAACACATTATGAAGATGGCAGTGACAAACTAAATTATTTGATAAACAGTTTTCTACATTTCTTTTTTAAGTTATGTATTTTAGTTGAATAAATAATTAGAAATTTGTATTGTATTTTATTATGTTCTTTTATATCGAGCTCTGGGACAGGCAACCAAAAAAAATACCCCAAAAAAAACGACAAAATTTTTCCGCCTCACGAGAGAATTGCAGATAACCTGATTAATGATAAAGATGGAATTTGTGGAGATATATACCACATTTAATAGTTTCACTCAATAGTGCCTCTCAATGGGTAGGTCATAAGATGAACATGGACAAAACAAATATCATGTTAAATGTCCCTGTCACACCTATGTCGGTAGTTGTTGGGAGCACTAAGCTGGAAGTTGTTGACGAGTACGTTTACCTGGGACAAATAGTCTGACTAGGTAAGTCCAACTTCGACCGAGAGGTCAATCGACGGATTCAAATCGGCTGGGCAGCGTTCGGGAAATTCGACGCATCTTCTCGTCAGGTATACCTCAAAACCTAAAAACAAAGTACCACCAGTGCGTGTTGCCAGTGATGACCTACGGAACCGAGACGAGGTCCTTCACTGCTGGCCGTATGAGGACGCTCAAAGTCGCTCAGCGAGCTATGGAGAGGGCTATTTTCGGAGTTTGTCTGCGTGATAAACTTAGAAATGAGGATATCCTCAGTAGAACCAGAGTAACCGACATAGCCCAACGAATTAGTAAGCTGAAGTGGCAATGGACCGGCCATATAGCTCGAAGAACCGAAAACCGTTGGGGAAAAAAGGTTCTCGAGTGGCAGACTCGTACCTGTAGGCGAAGTGTAGGGTGACCCCCCACTAGATGGAGTGACGACCTGGTAAGACATGCTGGTAGTCGATGGATGCAGGTGGCTCAGGAGTCCTGAGTCAGGACCGTGCTTTGTGGCATACCTTGGGGGAGGCCAATGTTCAGCAGTGGACTTGTGAAAGACTGTAATGATGATGATGATACAACATATATATTTTGTATAAAGTTATCATTCGTCTCCGCTAGGGTTGATAATGTTTTGTGATGTTTTGCAACTAAATTGGATAACAGAAAAACACGATTTAAAACAAATCGCGAAATATAAAAAAACAACAGTGCGAACGCTAACGTTGACAAATCTATAGATAAACAAGTAGAATGTTTATGTTGTATTCAATGCGAACACAGCTAAAAACAAATCTTGATATGTGTTGAAAATTTTACACAGTTTTTGTGAGTGCGAACGCCACCATCAACAAAACATGTTGTGTGATTTATTTCATGCGATTGAGACCCACCCATCAAATCTCACACTTGTTTCAAAACATTACGTGTTGGATGTTTCTCAGTGCAAACGTACTGTAACATTGACAAATCTATAGATAAACAAGTAAAATGTCTATGTCGTAATCAATGCGAACACAGCTAAAAACAAATCTTGATATCTGTTGAAAATTTTACACAGTTTTTGTGAGTGCGAACGCCACCATTAACAAAACATGTTGTGTGATTTACTTTATGCGATTTGTTTCAAAACATTACGTGTTCAAGTTGGATGTTTCTCAATGCTAACGTATAACGCACTGTAATAATTACGCTACTACATATTAATATTATAGTTTCTATTACTTTTTATGACAGTACTCTTTGGCAATGACATAATAAACCTAGAGCTGAGGGTATTTAGTTCTTGTTTGTGATTTTGTGTAATTTTTTGATTTTGACTTTTGTTACCTTGCTCGCGAGATTTTGACACAAGAGTATATTGAATAACATGTGAAGTAATGAATGTGTATTTCTTGTTTATCGGTGTAGTTCTGCTAGGTACCCATTTATTATATTGACAAGTAAGTGACTGTTACGCAAATAATATATCATCTATTCTAAAACAGATTAGAGTAGTGCGAATGCAAAGTATGTTACACCACAAACTAACTAGAAACTTGTTACACTTTCAGTGAGATCGTGAATGACTGAGTACGTACCTGCCTAAAAGTGAAAGTGCGTACGCGTAATTTTGATCCAGTTATATTACATATCCATCATTTAAATTATAATTTGTCCAGGGCACCTAGTTAAATCGTAAGTTTGTAACGTATAAGAAATATAAAATTCTGTAATTTAATTCAACTTTTTCATTTGTAATAACATAAGTTTATATGGTATATCTTATAGAGTTGGTATATTTATTTATTTATTATGTAAGGGCAAATATTTCAACCCTCCTATTCACTGTTTACCCTGCTAACTAATATGACAGAATCTGGTGATATTAATAAACCGATTAAAGGAAATTATGTAGGTTGGGATATTAACACTACAAGGGTGTCAGCTCTGTGTTTATTTCACCAATTTAACTTCCCATTGTGATAAATATACGAAAATATTCTAATTAATGCATGCTGGCAGATATATTCCCAACCTATTGTCAGCTTTAGACTTAAAAGCTTTTGAGGTCTAGGTGATGTACTTAATTTTTTCTGTTTTAAATACAGGAGAATTCTGAATGTTTAACCCTTAATTAGGCACATAAGGAAATCATGAAAGTAGTTGGATGCAGTCTCTAGTTTCCCCAAATAAATCGTTAAAAATAGAGTGTTTGAAATAAATAAAATTTTGTAAAGTAAAATTAATTTTAAGAAACTCACATATAAGCTTGACTAAACTACTCTCTTTCACTAAACTACAAATTTTTTGTTTTGGCCGAGATCAACGTTAAAAAAATTAATGCAATTCGTCAGCAAATTCTTCTATCCTGCAACCGACGCACCCATATATCTTAAAGTGTTGTTGACAAATAAATTTACCACACATTGAGTAAAACTATATGTATATGTGCTTTACAACACCCATGTTCATGTAGGGACTGAGATGTTTGATGTCCCAATGTCATAGTTAGCCATGCTACCTTCAGTTTTTGAATATAAATTTTTGGTCTGATCTATGATCTAAAAACTGAAGGTAGCGTGGCTAACTGTGACATTGGAACGTCAAATATCTCAGTCCCCCCTGTGACCATGGGTGCTGTAAAGCACCCAAAATGTCAGGAATTAAAAATATGTTAAAGTAGTTAATTAAACGCGATAAATCCATAAATATAGTTTTACTCAATGTGTAGTGTTCGCATAAATTTAAGAAATCATTAAATTTACCACAAATTTTGGCATTTGCTTATTTTTTGTTAAAGCAGGGATAGCATGCTGGTAAATTTGACATTTCTGGTCATCTTCTACAAGCACCACTGCTAAATTCTTCCAAAAAATACACCTTGTGTGCATATTCCTCTTATTAGTATTCAAGATTACTAATAGCATTAGCAGAACCAGCAATATCTTGGTTATTGTCGGACACATCCTTCAGCAATTGCAGTATCTCTCTTTTGCGAGTCATCTCAAAACTTCAAAAGAACATTTAATATAAATACATACAAAAATAAGTAAATTAAATATGCACCATAACAATAGACAAATACTAATAAAAAAAATAGAAATATACTTACCTCCGCCAAAACATGTTACATAAGTGGTTGCATGGGGGTCAGCACCTAAGAGAGAAGCGACATGTGCATATGCGTGGTTGTTCTGGCCATGGCTAATTTGCTTAGCCCGCAGGGTAAGGAAGCTAGAAAGAGCGCGAGTGCGTTCCAAACATTCCAACCCCTTTTTTTTTTAAATTGAAATTTACCCCATGGGTATATAATTAAGGGTTAATATCATTATAAGATTTAATAATTTAATTACGATCTTTAATACTAAAAATATATTTGAATTTTATTAATTTAAGAATTCAATGGAAGGGCATCATCATATGAACATGGACATGGACCATTTAGAACATCATACAAATAAAATCAGCCCAAATGAAGCTCTTTTATCACACTCAAACCATCATATGAATGATTCACTTTTAATTGAAGAATTCAATGTAAGTATTGTTTTTATTACATTATTTATTAAAATATTTCTGTTTTCTTTAAATTGTTATATACTTGCAGAATATTTTAAATGGCAGTGACAATTTGGATAATAGCTTAAAAGGATATGATGATCATGGTCATGGAGATCATATTTTGAGCCATGGAGCCCATAGCTCACATGAAATGCATATGTCGATGACAGTAAGTCATTCATAATGTGGAAAATTACAGTAGTTACATTATTTTTATTTCAAATTAATGTATTTTCAGTTCCATGGTGGTTACATGGAGACAATTTTATTTTCTTGGTGGAAAGTGACAGACATGGGAGAATTCATGGGATCATTTTTAGCAATATTCATAATGGCATTATTCTATGAGGGGTAAGAGATACATCAATGTAAAATTATAAGGAAATTCCATAAGTGAAATTCAAAAAATGACTAGTATTACTAATTTTATTGTAATTATAGCTAAACTTTATTTTTGGGAATGTTTTTTCCTCATTAAATTAATAAAGAGGATGCCCTATGTTCAGCAGTAGACTTTAATAGGCTGTAACAATAATGGTACAGATTATACTGACTGCAATTTTAAGCTCAGGGTATGTAAATGCAATCCTACAAGACAATTACAATATTTGTGGAACTCTTATTATTATATTAATTTTAGCTTTAATACAACAATAAAAAGTTCTTCTCTGAGAACATTACCTGAAGGCAACTACTAATTGACATTATTTTTCCTTAATTCTTGTTTTTCTTTTCTTCTTTTTTTACTCTAAATATTTATTTCATTATATATTATTCAAACATTATATTATATATATCATTCATTTAGATATTTATTTACGAAGTTTATAAGCATGTATATATATATATATATATATATATATATATATATATATATATATATATATATATATATATATGTATGTATGTATGTTTTATAGTACATATATTTATATTATATGTATGTATATTTTAAAGTATATGCACTTATTTATGTATAATGGTCGCACCTGCCAACAATCGTCCTTGGCACCCAGGGTTGACTGGCAGAGAATGCCACAAGGCATTAAGTCCGCCCTATGTACCCTTTAGGTTAAGATGTTACATGTAAGTTTTTAAATAAATAAATAAAAATAGTAATCAAAATCACAAAATAATAAGGGTTACATAATTACATCACTAAGTATTAGTGAACATTATTTTGAAGGTTTTTTTTTAAATTGTTTTCGTTATTGCAAACTACTATCAAGCATCAGAGCATCTACTGCCATAACTGTTTAGGGCCTACGCTCATAGACGGCACAGCATGGTACGGCGTTTCTAAGGATTTTATCATGGTCAAAAGATTTTCGATCTTATTTTAATTAATTTTGCACTGACATTCCTTTATTTCAACACGAATAGACCGAAACGTGTCGTGCGATACCGCGGCGTGCTGCTGCACGTCACGTCATTCCGTGGAATGTTGCGGCACGTCACGGCATTCCATGGGATACCGCGGCACGCCGTTGCATCACGTGAAACACAAGTCATGTTGTTAAAGGAATGTTGTTAAATGAATTGATACAAGATTGAATCCAACCTGTTGCGGCGGCAATGTCAGCGACTCGTGCGAGCGCCCGGTACACGAGCGCGTCTTGATTTGTTTAGCATGCTGCGGGATGCCTCAGAATCCTTACGCATGACCAAGTTGCCACAGGATCGTTCGGCATACCGAAGTGTGTCTGGCCACGACGTGCCGTCTGTGAGTGCAGGCCCTTAGATGTTAGTTTAGTTTACGATGGGCCGTTATCTGTAACTCTACGTCTAGGCGCGTATTTTGCGTGGCTCGAATAATTCATAATATTCCTGATATTATGAATTATTCAAGCCATGAAATCTCTTTGAAGAAGTTGAATAGCCCTTTGATGTTGTGAGCAACTGTGGGGAGCGATCAGGGATGCAGCGACCTCCGGACATGTCAGCAACACGTGGGCCGTCGTTTCTATAGTAAATAAATGTTAGTTAAAGGAGCCATGTTCTGTAATGGCACTTGTTGCTAGCCTGATCTGTGGTTTGCTCAATCTTATTAAGACCTTGGTTATACGATTGTTTAATTCTGGCAAGGCCTCCCTACCTTGCCTACAGTCCACTAGTGTGTGATTAGTAAAGTAAAGTTTTTACGTACCTGTGAACGAACGTTACGAAAAGGGATCGGTATAATCGATTCTGGCTCTATAACGGCCATATCCGATCCTCTTCTGACCAGTTCGTTTGCTGCTTCGTTTCCCCTGGATCCACTGTGTCCCTTGAGCGCATTTCCATTTCCGTGTTGACTAGGAGGCAGTACTGCCTTGAAACACGCACTGGTTTGTCGCGCTAACTGCCTTTACAAACTCGTGTTCAATTCAAGGCACGTGTCCTCCAATCGCGCACGGGTTTGTAAGAAGTATGCGTCTTGATTAAGCGCCACATATTCGTGTTTGTTTGAAGGCATTTTTGTGTTTAATTAACCCCGCCATCTCCTTCGTGGTTATTTTTCTATAAACCACTCAGAAGTAGGAGCCCCGCGAAACGGGGCTCCGTCGACCGGGCTTCCCTTGACTGAGCTACGGGAGAGAGTTGGGTTAGTTACGACAAACCCGTGCGTGTTTCAAGGCAGTACTGCCTCCTAGTGAACATAGAAATGGAAATAAGCGTCCCTTGATCTATTGCAGAGCCACATTGTTGTCCCGAGTTCTCTATATTGCAAATCAGAGCATGTAGTACCGCCATACAGTCGGTCAGTATTCTGATGGAGAAGTCTTACCTTCCTGGCATCTATTGCTATGGCCGCTTGGATGATTACCCATACATTCCGCCTGGAAGACTGTGTTATGGGTACCCAGCGGTGTACATTTGTGGATATTAAGGTCTTCAGAGAAAGTTCTAGATCCTACACCTTCATTTGTTTAGAACTATCTGTGAAACTCTAAGCTCTTTTGGGTTTAATCCCTCCGGCTGGTCAGTTTCATTTAATTGTATTTTATATACTTCTTATCGAATACAAATTGGTTAAGATCTTATTGTTCTTGGCTTGTAAGATAGGAATTTTTGAGTAAATTCTATCAATTATATCTGTATGGGAGACTCTACTCTCACTTAAAAGATTTAGGGTCTTGAGTCTAATGGCAACTAAAGTTGCTTCTTGTTGTATATATAGATGAAGCAGGGTTGGCTGCGGTTAGTTTAAAGCTGCTCTCGGTGTAGTTCATATGCAACCCGTGGCAGCCATACATGCCAATCTCTGGTAACGCTGAAGCTTTTTTAGTGGTGGCTTCATTAGTTTGGTCCACAATATCAGAGAGCCGTATGTGATCATGGACCGAATTACTGTTTTGTACAGCCACAGTATAATTTTTGGCGTCAAACCCCGTCGTTTGCCAATCATTTTTCTGCATTGCCAGAAAGTTATACTAGCTTTGTAGACTTTGTTTTCTATGCGTTTATTCCAGTTAAGTTTACTGTCCAAGGTAATGCCCCTATTACACCACCCTGAATCAGGGCCCTGAACGAAAGCTGGGCGTGGCCCCTAGTTAGGGACGTCAGTTATTACACTACCCTGATTTTACGCCCTTCTTCAGTCGTAGGGATGGACAATTGGAAGAAGTATATACATTTATTGAATCGATATTTTTAAAGTAATTGTAACAAATCATTGACTGTGTTTTGTCCTGCTAACTCTAGTTGCGTAACTCGAGTTTAGTTTTTTTTTTTCTATTTATTTGATAATAATTTTACAATATTTAGATTGGTATTTTACAGTATAAACATAAGCTATACAGCTTTACCGTATACCGATGCCATCAACATACATAGCATGATAATTATTATGCCTAATAATTATGTCATACATCTTATTGTGATGCACGCATTGAACCGCACTCCCCGTTACACTCAATAAACCGATTTGTTCTCGGTGGCGTTATTTGTCTACCTGGCTTGACGTGTCGAGTTCGGGCTGTTCATATAATTTGATACTAATTAATGATATTAAATATAAACTTAATTTATATTATTAATAATTATTGTATATTATGTAACATTAGTTTTTAGAGTATTAATGTGTAACTTATAATATATTATTTTTATTTTACAAGATTTATTATAAGTTACTTAAGAAGTAATTCTTTAATATATTTTTTATGTTGCGTTGATTAATTTGTTTTTTTTTTAGTTGTGATGGAAGTTTGTTTATGATATCGGGAATCATATATTCTAATGTTCGTTTTCCATATAGATTTATGTATTTTGGTAATGCTAAGGTAGGTTTCTTTGACTGTCGTGTGTTAAAATTATATTGTATTGATATTTGTATATTTTTATGAAAGTAATTTTCAATAAGTAATATATACTTTACTTTATTATGTACAGGTTATATTTTACAGAATTCAAAGATATTATGTTGTTGGTCTTTAAATTTGCTTGTAACACTTTTTGGTACTAGAGTTTTTAAAATACGGAGTTGTAAGGTGTAAATTCGGTCTAGGTGTGTATTATAGGTCCTACCATAGCTAGAAAGACCATACGATATTATAGATTCTGCTAATGAGATATATAATTGTATTCTTATATCGTATGGTATTTTGTATTTTATTAATGTGAATTTGGCCAGAATTCCTCGAAGTCTGTCGCATATATGGTAAATATGCCCTTTCCAGCTAAGGTAACTATCGATGATAAGCCCAAGGTAAGTATGTTGTTCCACTATATCAATCTTGACACAGCTACAATGCACGCTTTTAGTGTGTTCGAGTTGTATGAATTTGAACGTGAGTTAACTCGAGTCGTAATTTTTTCAAGTAAGCACATCTATAGGATGCAACATCGCTCATTAAAAACATCAAAGCTTATATACGATATGTCGATTTTTTCGATGTTTTTTTTTATGATCATTTAAATATATACATACATACATAAGGAATAAATAATCATTTTGAACAGAAATGAAACAAAGAAGTATAATAATCAAACATTATATTTATGTTATTTAAGGAAGTTTTACACTATTTATTTTTACACATTTAATTTTATCGAATAATTATCAGAAAACAAGAATTAATTAAATATTTTTTACTTTTACGTTTATTTCTTTCTAATTGAATTTTAAAATAACAATTTTGACAACCTGGTGCCTAGTAAGTGGTTTCTCTCCTGAGTGATTGTGGATCCAGCCTCTGAAAATTACCGCTCACGGGGTACCGAAGTTGCCACGATAGGCAAATAAATCTTATCTAGGCTATGAAGCCCGGGAAATAACCCTTTTTTTGTACCCGAAGCAATTAAGGGCAACACTCCGGAAAGCGGGGGAGGGAGACAGTGAATGATCATAGCATACCACGCAGCCGGCTGCGTGGTTATGTGGAGACTTTTACCCACTAAACACTGTCTTTAGGGACTGGCTTACTGGTCTAACTAGAGATCTCTAAGCCTTATCGAACGCGATCCCCCTTGGTAGAAAGGGGGGTCGCGCGTTTCATATACATGTAGTATATGAAACTCGTCTTCTACTTTAATTTAATTTCTTATCATGTGGTGCGTTAATTTTTTATGGTAGTTCCATATGTTACCTTCAGTATTATCGCATTTTCTGAATAAATCTACGAAACTATACCGAAATACGAACAGGTCATAACCGTTCATACAAAAAAAATCAATATTTCAGAAAAATGATTGTAACGAAATATGATGTACCGTAAATAAAATAATTTCCATTACAAAATAATTATTAACTTATCAGACTGTACTAAAGCTATTCATCAAGTTAAAGCTCAAACAATGTAATTATTAATAATAAAATGAATAAAACAATTTCAATCCATTTTTAATATTTGTAAACTTATCTAAATTAATTATCACAATAAAAATAACTACAAGTTTACATCGAAAATGGCATTACCGATAGAAGACAATTGTACTTCTGAATTTCAAGTATATTTATCGGCTGAAAGATCATTCGCCTGTTTGTTGATTCGTAATTAAAATTTTCGGGATTGAGTTATTTCTGATAAATACTAGTAAACCTTCTAACTTTAAAAATTTTGACTTTATCTAACTTTGACATAAGTATTTTGTTTCGAATATTTAATTTTTGGTCACATAAAATTTGTGATAATCATCGTTCGCAACTTTTAACATACGGAATTTTATATTTTCGAATAGTGGGTTATTTCGAACCTTTGAGGGCAAAACATCGTTCATACAACATAGCTCATGAAGAACCTTGTTTATAAACGATATATCGATGTTTAATAGAATTGATGTATCGTTTGCATCCCTAGTCGCGCATCGAATAAGTGCCCTAACTCCCTTAGTGTTATTACACTGCACGGTGGAAGGGCACCGGGGCACCCTGTAGACCGGGTCCACTTTGACGCCCTAATTAGGGACCCCGACTCCCTTTCTCTTATTACACCACCCTGAATCAGGGCGTAGGGAGCCTGATTAAGGATAGTGTAATAAGGGTATAAGACCTAAGTATTTTACCTCAGAGGATAGCTGGAGTTTTGTGCTAAAGAGACTTGATAGATGATATTTATTCATCATTCATTGTTGTGTGAACATTACTAAAACCGTTTTATTTGGATTGACGGTCAAATATTATACTTTGCACCAACTCTCCACTCTACGGAGAGGCGCATGGATCAAGTCGCACACCATACTTGCTGTTTTTCCCGAGACCTGTATTGTCAGGTCATCTGCATAACTAATTGTATAGCAGTCGTTGACACTTAATTTGCTGATTAGTTTATTTATGACTTTTTCACCACAAGAGTGGTGAAAGAACCCCACCTGTGGGCTGCCCCTCCTTATTAGGACTGCTTGGGGTTGACAAGCAATCTTTATTGTTCATGAACTGAGCATGCTTACTATCCAGTCAATCATTGGCGGTTCGACTCTATGTCTACTTAGTGCAACTTTTATGCTGGAGAATTTCGTTCTGTCATAAGCACTTTCTATCTGTATGAAAGATCCTAGACATATTTTTTTTGAATGGCCCCTTCAATTTTTATTATCACCTGGTAAAGTGCCGATTCTATCGAGGTGCCTAAACTTGTTTGTTTTTGAATTAAAATTTTGATCATCAAAAACTGAAAATTGAAACAGTTTTTGATGATCAGCGAGGTTTTGGATTTATGGTCGGGGGTAGCAATGTTCCCCTTCAACCAACCCAGAGCTTTCTGATCGTCGCACCACAGTTTCGGGACACCATCCGTGTAAACGGATTTGGCTCTAAAAGCTGGGCCCGACGCAACAGGGTCCTGGCTACTCCAGGCCTCGCTGATCATCTTCCTCTGTATTGCTACGAGGATGTCGTCAGCTACTTACTTCGCTATGTGACCTGAATGCGCACATATTAAGACCACAGCCAAATCTGCTTTACCAGAGGAAGCGTAGCAGGTTCTTGAAGCCTTCGGTTGCTGTTCTAGTCATACTGGTGGACTTTTCGAGCATCCTTTTGGCTGCTTTTCCCTTCTTACCATGACGCTTGGTCACTTGCTGCTTCCTGGCGGATAACTTAGAGCTGGTCCCTGTGGTCGCGACTTCCACTTGGATTGGATTTACATCCTTCTCAGTTTCAGCGCGGCTACTGGTTTCAGTTCCAAGCACCGCAGTCTCATTAGCTTGCCCAGCCTCCATGGTGTTGCTCTTAGAAGCAAACAGAGCGGCCCTTTACACCACTGCTGGATTGACTCACTTAACGGTCCGTCGGGTCGACAAGTTACCTTTTTGGGTGATCACTTGCCAGGTAGCAGAGAAACGGTCGTCCGTTTTCTGGGGCTCCGCAGAAGTTTTGCTACTCGCGGTCCTTTACTTCTTTCTCGCGCCCAACTCATAACCAACCAAGTAAAGAGGGGATGATTTTGTGGCTTCCAATAAATGGCAGTAATAAGTATAACTTATATTAATACAAAATGCCCAAATTATAGATGGTAATATGACAATTTATTTTTTCTGTGGGAGAGGCTCTAATCCAATGGGCAACTAACTTTTTTGTTTTAACCTACTATTTTTAAGACAAAATAAACAATAAAATATTAATTTCATTGTATGTTACAAGAAATATAAGCCATTAATAATTTGAATAAGTGGGATAAAACCAGATATTGTAACAAAACGAACATTGAAAACTTATATTATCATTTTGGCACCAAATTTTCCATAACACTTATTTCAGGGTTTTGTAAACAGAGAGAAAAGTTATCAAACATGTCCTTTGTCTGAGAAGATGTGTAGAATAACATAATGAAATAATTTTGAAGAATTGCACCTTTAAAAACATTTGCCATGTTCTTTTATACTTATCTTTTTTATTACAGTTTATCTGAAGTCTACTGTTAAATATAGGCCTTCCCAATAGATTGCACTATAGACTGGATATTTGCTATAGTCAATACGCTTGGCAGGGGGGTTGATAATTCCGGAGACCCTTTTTTACTGGAAACGAGGCATTCCACCTTAGTCCTCAGGGGTGACAACGCATCTGCGTTTTGATCTTTAACCGACGATAAATGTAGATGTCTATGGGCCACAGAAACTTTTTTATTCAATGTAGATTATAACAATACTTAATGAAATTCACTTTTTTCATTTACCACTGGTTCGCAAAAAAAACCTCTGTCCTGGGAAGAACCAGCATCCACTTACCATCAGGTGGATTGTGTGCTTTATTCTCACCCTTATTCTATAAAAAAAATTGCCGTTTTGTATTTTTATTGGTTATTAATAAGATGCTACTGCCCTTCTCCTGGTTTGTTTCACTTTGTTGACTCTTACGACACCTACTACGCTACCCCTACCCCCTAATCCCTACGCGACTATATGGGATTGTAGGTATTCTTACACTGCCACTACAATTTAAATTACCGTATTATTACTTCGTTTTTACCAATTTTATTTTATGATAGTCATGGTGCTATTATTTCAGTCTGAAGTACTACAGGAAACACTTATTATGGAAAACTTACACAGGATTACAATATTGTGCAGTTGCACCTCCAGATAAAGGTGTGGCGAATATTTGCGCAGCAGATGAACCGCAAGTTATACAGTTGAGTAAATGTTTGCATACCTTATATATTAACACTTTTTTTTTCTAAAGTAATAACACATTGATAATATTATGTCACTAACATTTTTGTTTCAGGTCCATGCCTCATGTACTAGAAAGGAATATGTAAGTTGTACAAATCACAATTTCATGATCATCATCACTACAGTCCTTCACAAGTCCACTGCTGAACATAGGCCTCCCCAAGGAATACCATATAGCACAGTACTGAGCCAACTGCATCCATCGACTTCTTGCATACCTTACCAGGTTGTCAGTCAATCTAGTGGGGAACCGTCTTATACTTCGTCTAACGGTACGAGACTGCCACTAGAGAACTTTTTTCCCCATTTGTTATTAATTTATTGGGCTATATTGATTACTCTGGTTTTACTGCCAATCTCCTTATTTCTAAGGTTATCATGCAGAAAAACCTAGAACATAGCCCTTTTAATAGCTTGCTGACTGACCTTGGGCATCTTCATATAGCCAGCAGTGGAGGACCATGTCTGAAATCCATAAGACAACACTGGCAACATGTTAGGGCACTAAGCTTGAAGTTGTCGAGTATGCTCACCTGGGACAAATAATCTGACTAGGTAAGTCCAACTTTGACCAAGAGGTCCATCTACGGATTCAACTCGGCTGGGCAGCTTTCGGGAGATTACAACACATCTTCTTGTCAGGTATACCTCAAAACTGGAAAACGAGATTCTGTTACCAGTGCATTTTGCCAGTGATGACTTATGGATTAGAGACTTTGGTTCTCCGATAATATGCCCTAAACCTTGCAAACAGACACTAAATATAAATTATTTCTATATTTTTTTGAAGAAATTGTTTGAAGAATCAATATTGTCTGGACAATAGTTTTACAAAGAAATATTTAATATAATTTAACTTCTAAGCAAAAACTCGGCGAAAAAATTGGTATTGATAAGCCATTTGTTTTAATCAGTGGTTTTATTTTAGACCTACAATGATGAGTGCAGCACATGCATGGCAGACTGTTTTACATGGAATACAAGTTCTTGTTAGCTACATGCTTATGTTGGTGTTTATGACATACAACACATGGTTATGTGCAGCAGTTGTACTGGGATCTGCTACTGGTTACTTTCTCTTTGGTTGGCGTGAATCTGTTGTTGTGGACTTCACTGAACACTGTCATTGACAAATGTTAAGATCAATAAGCCAGATTAGTATTATTAATATTTATATATCCTTACAATTTATGAAATACAAAGTGGTTTATATCATGTTGTTATTATTATCATGTTTTAATAAGACAACATTTTTGGGTGATAAAGTTACATTTTATACCAGTTATATATTTTGTAGACTATTTAGGTTATAATTAGATGAGTATTAAAAAGCTATGAATTAGGATTTTTTTTATTAAAACCCTCTTATAATCTACACAACATGGTTACAATTCATAAAATAATTAAAAAATGTGTAAAACAAATTTAACCATCAGCTAGCTAGCTAGCTCTAAAGAATAATTTTTATGTCTGTGTCGGCAGTGTTTTTTTAAGTTAGAACTACTGTTGCATTTATATTTGCAGAATTTGCAAGCATATGGCCTTTCAGTTGTGTGAATTCTTCTATGAACATTCAGTGAATTAATAAAGTTTGTCCTGAATGTACACTGATCGCATAAGAATGGTTTTTCTGAAGTATGTTTCCTTTTATGCTTAATTAAATTTGAAGACAACTTAGTTTTGTAAGGACACTTAGGATATTCACAAAAATATTCTTTATCAGTATAAAATTGTTTATATTTTTTCTTATTATGATTCCTGAAACATACAAAGCCTTTTATTAATACTTTAATTAACCTATAGATTGAGTATCTACATAGGTTCAATGATCATATAAATAAAAACTTGCATAGGAGAATAGACGTCATCGACAGTTTCTAAATCTTGATTTTTCTGAGAGAACAATTGGGTCTTCATGGGCTCATCCCTAAATTCGTTATAATATCTTTCGTTTTTCAATAATTGCGAAATATATGACATTGGCTGCGGACCAAACTGGATGATTTGTGACTTATCTGGCCTTCCCCTTGGATTATAAATTTTTGATGATAGTTTTTTAGTTATTTTTGAGTTTGAACAAACTATTAGTGGGTCATCCATTTTAGGGTCATTAATGTAATTTGAAAAACAATTCCTGAAATACAAAACCAAAAATACTTAAATATTTAGAAGTTGTTTGGATTAATTTATACAAACTTACTGTGCGTACTGCATAGATTATGGACTATTGGCGTCAGTGTTGCCAGATGTCTTGAACCTTTTATCTGTATTAGAAACTGCTAAAATCTGTATTAAATCTGTATGCTATTTAAACTTAAAATCTGTATAATATTAATAAACCAAAATAGAATAATTGATCATCATCATCGTCATTGCTTTTTTAAAAAACAAGGAATAACTACTAGCGTGATAAGCTGATGAAATTTGATTATCGTTATTAAATAAAAATATTTTTTATAGAATAAGAGTGACAAACGAGCACACAGTCCACCGATGGTAAGTGGATGCTGTGGCCCATAGACATCTACATTTATCCTCGCTTAAGAATTAAAACGCAGATACGTTGTCACGCCTGAGGACCAAGAGGGGATGCCTCATTTCCAGTAAAAAGGGTCTCCGGATTTCTACTTTCACCATACGAAACACAGCAGTATTAAGCTGGTATTTTACGCTGGTATTCTGTGAGAGCGTGGTTCTTCCCCGGTCGAATGTCAGCTATTATGGTTGCAGTGCTGCAACCACAATATAGCTGCAACGTGGTTCTACCACTATATAGCAAAATTGAAAACATTAATTTAAGCAAACAACATATTAAAACTCAAACATTTGCCATATGAACATGTATAATTACTTTATTATTTTCAGTCATACATATTTTATACACAGGGCGTTAGTGTAAACAACGTTATCCTTGAAACCAGTGTTTTGGTTTCACTTATAGAACGTAAATTCAATGAAAAATAACAACATGTTTTTTTAGTAAAATCTCAATTTTTCCTTAATTCCTCAATTTTGCCTGTCCTAAGCCATGATAAAAGTATGAAGGAAAAGTTACATCACAGGTTATGTGTACCTGTTTTTTATTGGAATATAGGGTAGGTAGCTAGCGCGGGCGGTGATCTTTACAGTGATTACGTCACCCGGGCGCATGGGGTATCCATGAATTTACGGACGGTTTCGGACAGAAACCTCTTAATTTTATGAAAGAAAATAGGGGTTTTTTTAGAATTCAGATAAATATTTTTATTTAAAGCCAATAACCTATGGTTTTAATGACAACGGTGTTTACACTTACACCTTGTATACATATTTTGTAATACACTTGTAATTCTGCCATACTAACTAATTACGTTGTGAAAAAATAAATTAACAATAAAGAATAGAATCATAAATGTGTGTAACGCGGTTTCTAGTCACTTATTTTGCTTCATTCTATTTTAAGTTGAATAATATGGTAATCCAATCAATAGAGTTAGAAAACTCTGTATAAAAATCTGTACCCAGTGCTAATCTGTATCACACACCGAAAATCTGTATAAATACGGTGAAATCTGTATATATGGCAACACTGATTGGCGTCAGCGTTGTTCCTGACAAATTTAGAGTTGCCGTATTCTAACTCCAAAATTGCCGGATTATTAGGGAAAACTAAGAAAAATGCCGTATTGTACAAAATATTTGTTTAGAAGGTTACAATAAAAAAAAAACGTGAAATACATGTTGTTTACATAATAAATAAGTGTGTACTATAAATGTACTAATTTTATTCTTCACCATATAGGTTTTGAATAGTTTCCAGTACTTCTGATTCTGTCGCATTTGGGTCGTACTGTTTTTTATCTTTCATTTTACGAATAATTTAGTTTGGCACTTGAAATTTTGTAAATTACCATTACCGATCCGGATCTCCATGGTTCTGAAGGTCAGAGAACAGGAGAAAGATCGCCATAGAAAATAGTGTCCCAGAAATATGAACATCATAAGTGAGGAGCTGCGATCGCTACGTTCAGTCAATAAAAGTAATTTTCAGTCTATTTTTCCGATCAGATGCTAAACCACTTGCACATCCACGCACAATAAAATATTTCTCCATTTTTTTAATGTTTTTTTTTTTGTCAAAAATTACAAAATTACGGAGCATGAAAATTTTCTCACCAATGCTGCGGAGAAAATTTGTACAATTATTCAACTAACTTCATCTACTTATACTCATAAACAGTTAAATTTCGCAGCCACTACTCACCGACGTCAGCGCCGCTATAAATTCTACAATTTTCAAGGACAGGTGGGCTATGCTTTAGTACGTAGTAATCGTTCTCCTGTTCTCTAACCTTCAAGGTTCACAAGTTGGTGTGTTCCATTATACGAAATATTTTTTTTTACTTCAATTACCGTATATTTTAATACGGTAATCATAAGCTGCCGTATACCGTATTTTTGTTGCTTAAGATGCCTGAATGCCGTACATTACGGCAATTGCCGTATCAAGAACAACGCTGATTGGCGTACTGCTTAGAGTAGAGTATACAGAAATAAAGAGCCATCTCCTAGGATTTTTTGTCACCCAATATGAATAGTGTCGCCGTCTGGTATCATATCCCTTGAACTAATCTCAATATCATGTTGACTATAGATAGCTGTATGTAGTTATGTATATACAGCTATCTATACTATAGGCGGTTATAGTTATATTTTAAGGGATTAGGGTTCAATTAAAGACGTATTATAGATTTCAGTAATATTAACATTTATTTTTGTTATATATATTTAACATACACGATGTAGAAGCGTCTATTCCGCAAAATACAACACCAAACCAAATTAAATATGTCCACCGGGTTACCGGAATGATAAATGAAAGCGTCTATTTTAGACGTGGGCGTTATTTCACGTCACTAGATACAGTAACTGGCTACGCGGCATGTAACCGAATCACTAGTTTCGAGTCATGTTACAAGTAGTGATTTTTGTAAATGCGTGATTATGATTACTGTTAACCATGATTATTGCGGGAGTCGACTGTCGGTCGCTCGAGCGCAAAGCGCACATGTGGCATACAACAATAAACAAACCATCGTAAGTAACAGTTTTATTGTAAGTTTAATTTTCATACGTAAGACTATAGACATAGACAATAAAATAGAGTAATCTCTGTTTGTAAATATTTTCAACGGTTTGTGATTCCGGGAAGCGGGTCATATTGAATTTAACTAAAATAATTTTTAAAACATTTTTGACGGAGTCATGAACTCGTTTATTCATAAAATTAAAATAAAACAAAAAATGTGTATAAAAAATTAAAAAATTTAAATGTTTATAATATTATAAAACTTAAAAACTGTGTGTAAATAGCTAAACAAACAAACAAATTAATTGTACAGTATAAATAAAAGTCCAAAAAGAAAGGACAGTGAAAACGTTGAAAAAGTGTAAATAAACTGTAAATATCAATAATCATTGTATATAAAATCAAATTGACTTGTAAATATGCCTGCATTAACAATTTTATGAAAATAATATTAGTGTCATAGTAAACGCAAATCAATCATAAATACATTTAATGCAGTCTGTCCTAAACCTGAATAAAGTATGAAGGGAAGTAAATTAATTGATTTAACAGCATACAGTTACTGTAAAGCTACAAACACAGATTGTGATTAAATTTATTTTCGTTTCGTGTGTAACTGTATAGTTGGTGGTGATATTTATGCAAACAATCACAGTAGCCGAATAAAAATAGCCAGTTACAAAAATCACTCGTTTTGAAACAGGTGACACCGATCAAGTCACTGGTTTTGTTACGTTTCTTGAAAATGACGTAACGACCCACGTCTAGTCTATTTCGCAAAACAACACAAACATACAATGTGGTTCCAGCATGAAAATCTAAACAGACAACAAGAAGCAGAGGGCTAATCCAACTCAACCAAACTTATTGTAGCAACATCCGAAAATCACTTATAAACTATAATAAGACAACAACTTGCTCAGACGCCGGTAGCCATTATGTTATAATATGAAGTTGCTTCTTGCCAGTTCGAGAATAACCAGAATTGGCGTAGTCGCCATCTAGCGCACCTTTTAGAATTTAATGTTCGAAAGTTTATGTGGATATAGTACAAGATGGCACTAGTGTCTGCAAATTATTGAACCCCAACCTAAAGTATGGAAGTGTACCCCCCCCTGGAGTAGAGTAATTTATACAGAAATACAATGTACTGCGTACGTATGTCACACACAAATCCCGTAGACAGAGAAACCTATAGACTAATGATCGGCGTGGCCTCGAGTGAGAAAGGACGATAACGAATTTTTAGACAATATCTTTATACTTTTAAACACATTTAGTAAAAATTTTAATTGTTCTAAGAACTGAACTGAACAAGATTCACCAATCTTAAGCTCACAAAACACTTTTTTTCTCACTTAAATCAACATGTAAACTCCTTAAATCGCTACGCTGTTAAAGTTGTTTAGCGAACTGTCAAAGAGTATAATAAGTATATACAGGAACTGTCCAGTCTTCACAATCCATAAATAAATAAATATCACAGAATACATAATGTACACAGATCATGGAGTGTAGAGGTAAGGAGGACATTGTCCCAAAGGAGAATAGTTAAAAATGTGTCCATCTGTAAGCAGTAAATAACAGTTCAAAAAATAAAAATATTAATATAAGTATTAAAAATAAGTAATATAAATATTAAAAAAGGTTGCAAAATAATTCATATTTTTTATTTTATTATAATGGATTTCCGCAAAGTAACGCCTGATTCTATCAATTAGGGGAAGGTGGGGGACATCGGATAGTTAAGGAAAATACACAATAAATAAATCACTATGTTATTTATTGAGATAATCAATATCACAAATGTTTAAGCATACCTTAGGGATAACTTTGGTATGAAAATATTTGAGATCAATCTGAATTACTATAAACTAGAACCATTTTAATCAAAAATTATAAATCCGAATTCACCCCACACCCATGGGTCAAACCGGATAGGCATTTTATATTACGGGGGTGAATACAGATACTAACAATAAAACAAAATACTTAAATTGTTCGCAGTTTTTGCAAACAAAAAATAATAATTCTTGCTCAGAACAACCAATTCAACTTTTGTGAGCCCATTCAAGATAAGCAGTGCATTGGTACCATTCATCTGTGGATTTAGTTTGACTTTAGTTTTCACCACAAACCAAACACT